CATTCCATGAAAAGCGACGTATGGTCCCCAAGTAATAACAAGGGTGCCATAGTCACAAAATACGCCCGTTTACGAAAGCTTTAGATGGAGATGGGGGCATTATGGATAAGTGTTATCTAGCAAGCAAGTTTTTATCCTTGGCACAGCCGCACTGTGTTGTTAAATGAACCTTAAAACAAATCAGTAGGGAAGATAAAAAGTACATGTAATTGTAATTTAATAACTAAAAAATTCTGATTTAAGATTTTATTCTAGGGAAATACATTTCATTACAATTCTTAATCTTTGAATGAGCTGAACTGATATTTACTTGAAAATTAAAATATAATTAAATTTCTATGAGAAAGTATTTACATTTGATAAGGTAATTACTGTATGATCTTTATGAACAAATACCAAGTCTACAGAACACCATAGTTATCACAGTTAAGAATCTTGACCAATGAATGAAACATGTGTAAATAAATGTTACATTCTTTAGAACATACTCAAGTCCAAGAAAGAGGATTATTTTATGCCCTTTGATTAAATTCTATTTTTAGAATTGAAAGTGAAAGTAGATCAAGGGGAGTAATTGTGTAAATCATTTATGAACAAAGTAATAACTTTGTTGTTGCCCTTTGATTAAATTCTATTTACAAAATCTGGATATTTCATCATCTTTAGTGACCTTGACCTTGTATATATTGACCTAAATTATATGTATCACAGCCATAGTCTTGATAATGACCATTTGTGTTACAATCCCTCAATAAATGATGACTAAATGGTCCATATACACATCTTCATATTTTTATCTGAACTTTGACCTCTATGTGTGACCTTGACCTTGGCCGCAAGGACCTGAATCTTGCGCGCGACACTCCGCCTCACAATGGTGAACATTTGTGCCAAGTAATATTGAAATCCCTCTATACATGTGGAAGTTTTGCTCCGGACAAGCATTTTTCAATGAGCTCTAAGTGTGACCTTGACCTTTGACCTAGAGACCTGGTTCATGTGCGCGACACTGCTCCTCATAGTGGTGAACATTTCTATGAAGTTTCATTAAAATCCCTCCATACATGTAGGAGATATGCTCCGGACAAAATTGGACGCCGCCCGCCCGACCGCCCGCCCGACCGCCCGCCAGGGGCGTTCCCATAATACGTCCCGTTTTTCAAACGGGCGTATAAAAAGCGTGTGCCCTAAACGAGAAAACAATGGGCGGAACTAAATAAAATGGAATTTTGAAAGGGGATCAGAGGTTATGAAGCCTGCGTATCACAGATAAGACGTCAAAAGACTAATTTAAAAAGCAGGCAACATATCCTAAGGGTGATTCAACATTATTCAAGTAGGAATATTGGAACCACCCAACTAGAAAATGCCGAAAAGTTGAAACTTAAAATACCACAAGCACAACAATAATGTCGTGCTGAACGATCTTCAAGGATCGAAAATATAACATCATTGATTAAATGTACGGGGAGACTTTTTACAGCCGCCACACGGCACAAATAACACGGATGTGATCATAAAATAGATAAATACAGAATCCCTAAAGAAAGCCCAACACGGCAAAATTGAAAATGTTGCAGGCTCGGTTTGATTGAGCCTGTTCATGGACGGTACTGGAAAGTGCAAGTTACCGTCCACGCCCCCTAGCACCGGCTTAAGCAGAATTCAACATTTAAACGTGAAATAGTAAAATTTTGAATTTAGAAACATCCGCAGATGTGTTCATACGGCGGTTATCATGGAACCTTCAATGTGACACTTCCGTGCCATTCCATGAAAAGCGACGTATGGTCCCCAAGTAATAAAAAGCGTGTGCCCTAAACGAGAAAACAATGGGCGGAACTAAATAAAATGGAATTTTGAAAGGGGATCAGAGGTTATGAAGCCTGCGTATCACAGATAAGACGTCAAAAGACAAATTTAAAAAGCAGGCAACATATCCTAAGGGTGATTCAACATTATTCAAGTAGGAATATTGGAACCACCCAACTAGAAAATGCCGAAAAGTTGAAACTTAAAATACCACAAGCACAACAATAATGTCGTGCTGAACGATCTTCAAGGATCGAAAATATAACATCATTGATTAAATGTACGGGGAGACTTTTTACAGCCGCCACACGGCACAAATAACACGGATGTGATCATAAAATAGATAAATACAGAATCCCTAAAGAAAGCCCAACACGGCAAAATTGAAAATGTTGCAGGCTCGGTTTGATTGAGCCTGTTCATGGTCGGTACTGGAAAGTGCAAGTTACCGTCCACGCCCGCTAGCACCGGCTTAAGCAGAATTCAACATTTAAACGTGAAATAGTAAAATTTTGAATTTAGAAACATCCGCAGATGTGTTCCTACGGCGGTTATCATGGAACCTTCAATGTGACACTTCCGTGCCATTCCATGAAAAGCGACGTATGGTCCCCAAGTAATAAAAAGCGTGTGCCCTAAACGAGAAAACAATGGGCGGAACTAAATAAAATGGAATTTTGAAAGGGGATCAGAGGTTATGAAGCCTGCGTATCACAGATAAGACGTCAAAAGACTAATTTAAAAAGCAGGCAACATATCCTAAGGGTGATTCAACATTATTCAAGTAGGAATATTGGAACCACCCAACTAGAAAATGCTGAAAAGTTGAAACTTAAAATACCACAAGCACAACAATAATGTCGTGCTGAACGATCTTCAAGGATCGAAAATATAACATCATTGATTAAATGTACGGGGAGACTTTTTAAAGCCGCCACACGGCACAAATAACACGGATGTGATCATAAAATAGATAAATACAGAATCCCTAAAGAAAGCCCAACACGGCAAAATTGAAAATGTTGCAGGCTCGGTTTGATTGAGCCTGTTCATGGACGGTACTGGAAAGTGCAAGTTACCGTCCAACAAAGTCTTCGTTAAGAACACCTTTCCATAAGTTATGTGCATGTTCACATATATCGTTTAAAGATTTGTAGGATTTATCTTTCATTGTCAAGGCTTTTTTCAAAATACTGGACTTAATATCAATTACACTTTTACTATATTCTGTGTTTACGCTAGCCATAGGAGGATTTCCTTGCCACAGACTTTTAAGATACCACACTTGTGAGTATATATCAAATTCAATGACCTGAATGAAGGTTTTAATATCTTTTATATGTTCATTTTCTGCTGATTCCTTATTCATCTCATCCAGAGTTTGAATTAATCTTTCAAGACCTCTCATCATATTTTCGGATGCAGAAGTATCTGTTACGTTCTGATGAATGAAAGAACAACTTTTCTTTATGTCTAAGTCTTTGTTTGTCATTTTCAATCCAAGAAATGCATGGACAATGACTTGAAGTATATCCCGTATTTCGCTTGTATTTTCCCCCATTATATTTATCAGTGTTATATCACCTATTCCAGTTATTGTAGTTGCTAACCTATTATCATGTTCATGTTGAAAATTATCTAATTCAGGTGATCTTAGCCCTTCTGTATCAACAACAAGAATAAAATTGTAATCTGATGTTTTATCTTCAAAATTAGCAGTATTTACAGGAATCAGTTGTGCATGAATACCCCTTGTACATCTTCCTGTTCGGGTTGAAAACTGACAGCCAAACATAGAATTCAAAAAAGTTGATTTTCCTGAGCTTTGCAACCCTAATACGCCGAGTGAGAGGACCTTGCCTGCTCCAATGCATTGATCAACTTCGTTGACTACAGCTTTTATCCATTTAAAAGGCATATAAAAGCTTTCGCCATCTATGAGTTCTAATTGGTGTCCATCAGCAACAAGACGACCAATAATTTTGATATTTGACTTAATGGAGGCCATTCTAATGTGGCAAAGTCTTTTTCTAGTTCAAGAATTGCCTCATTAATATGGCCTATTTCACGGAAACAATGTTCTATAGAAAATGATGCTTCATCTATCTTTTCTTCTAGTTCTTTTATAGTATTTTCTTGCTTTACTATATCAGACTGAACATGTTTTTCATTGCGGCTTTTAAGAAGTTTTAATTTTCTCCAAGCTAGTCGTTGTTTGTTCATTAATGTAGGCAGTGTGTGTCGCTTTTCTCTTTCAATATAGAAATGTAACCAACAAAGAAAATATTTCAGTACATAAAGATTATTTTCATACCTGCTAAGCATATTAGTAAAAAGTTTAACGGAAATTGTAATTGCCATTATTTGAGTTTCTCTGACGGTTTTAATTTTAGCATCAATGACGTTGCCTTCTTTAAAGTTTTTTTCTCTTTCCCGCGCTTTGATAAGCTTTCCTAATTCTTTTGAAAATTTACTATGAACAGGTGTTAGAGTTTGCTTCCAAGAGCACGGCAAGCCCTCATCTTTCATTTGATTAAACATTTTAATTGATTCGTTTTGACCTATTTGACAGTTTTCATCATCTTCATCTGTTTTTATTTTTGCTTGCCAGAAGCGTTCTTGATATGATTTAGTGCAATTTGACTTCACTTGATCTTCTATATTTGTTGACATATACGAGGCCATATCGACGGCGTTTCGTTTGCCAGTCTTGCTAAATGTATTCAATATTCGGAAATTGCAGCCTGGGTTAATTTTCAAAAAAATATTCTCAAAATCATTGACTACCTGTATTGTTTCTTGTAAAGCGGGGTTTGTAATAATTAACATTACTGACGAAAATTTTAGGAGCACATTATTAACATTTTTACCCCTTTTCAGAGTTTCAATATCAACTATTAAGGCGAGAGTGTCCACAAAGGTTGAAATAAATGTTATAATTTCTGCATCAAAATCTTGTTTTAAGTCACCTCTTAAGTTCAAAAATGTCATTGCCTCTTTAAATCTACCCTTTTGATTCCCAATTAATGGCAACCAAAACATTTCAACCTGTCCATTACTTAACTTTCTTTCTGTCATTCCAGAACGACAGTCAAGATTGAAGAAGGTTTTGCATCCATGATCCGAAAGGATACTATTCATTAATATGGATTTTGAAAAGTGGGGTCGACCCAACCTCCCAAAAGCTATCATTTTTTTGGAAGCTCAAGAATATCAATTTCTTTACATTGACCTTCACTGTCTCTATCATTCGTTTGCTTATTTTCTATTGCTAAAGATCGCAACGGCCAAACTGATAGTACTGACACTTGTTTTTCTTTAGTTTCCCAATACTTATACAAAAATGGTACAGCGAGTTTACAAAGATACAGTTTTTGTACAAGGACTTGTTTCAAAAAAGGATCACAACATTGAAAAATGATATAAAATACATCTAATGGGCTTATGTCTTGTTTATCGTCAGGTATGGTAGACGAAGAGCTCAACGTATTTTCTAAATAAATCCCGTTATTAAAATCGTGTTCTATTGTTACTGATACATCCCTAACATCACTTTGCGAACTAATTAATCGTTTAAGAACTAACCATGGAATGTCAGTGAAACAAATACTTCCATTTTCTTTCTCATTCCATTCTATGTCATCTACGACAACAATGTCTCTGATCGATATTGTACCTGGGTATCTGTGTATCAACCCAAGTGTTTCCAGCATTTGCCAAAATATCTCTTTGTTAGACCCGAAGGTGTCTGTAAAATATAAAACCATTCATTAATTTTGCGTATTTGTAAGTTCATGTTTTACAAAATTGAACTATGTTTGGTAATTTATATTCTAATTTTGCCTGCAAATTGTACCATTAGCTAGGAACAATCATGTCCCTCTTTTAACTTACAGAAGGTACAGAATGTTGCTATGTACCAACTATGATTACAATCACTCATTCCAAACACTAGTTATCATCCGAAAATCATTAAGTAGACAAACCGACGGGGAGGACGTACTGACACATCGACCGACACGCTGACTCTTTTTACCGCCATAAAAGACTACGGGCCAATTTTGGCTTAGGGCTACAGTTTAATGATTTAATGTGAACGTTGATCATGACAAACACAGTACGGATTATAGTTTTTAGCTCACCTGTCACTCAGTGACAGGGTGAGCTTTTGTGATCGCTTTTCGTCCGGCGTCCGTCCGTCCGTCCGTCGTCCGTCCGTCGTCCGTAAACTTTTACTTTAAATGACATCTCCTCATAAACCACTGAGCCAATTTCATCCAAACTTCACAGGAATGTTCCTTTGGTGGTCACCTTTAAAAATTGTTCAAAGAATTTAATTCCATGCAGAACTCTGGTTGCCATGGCAACCAAAAGAAAAAACTTTAAATATCATCTTCTAAAAAACCAAAAGAGCTAGAGCTTAGATATTTGGCATGAAACATCTTCTAGTGAGTGTCTACCAAGTTTGTTCAAATAAAAGCCCTTGGGTCAAAATTGGCCCCGCCCCAGGGGGTCATTGATTTTCCCTATATGTATATAGTAAAAACTTTAAAAATCATTCTTTTAAAGAACCCAAAGAGCTAGAGCTAAGATATTTAGCATGAAACATCTTCTAATGGGTGTCTACCAAGCTTGTTCAAATAAAAGCCCTTGGGTTAAAATTGGCCCCGCCCCAGGGGTCATTGATTTTTCCTATATGCATATAGTAAAAACTTAAAAATCTCCTTTTAAAGAACCCAAAGAGCTAGAGCTAAGATATCTAGCATGAAACATGTTCTAATGGATGTCTACCAAGTTTGTTCAAATAAAAGCCCTTGGGTCAAAATTGGCCCCGCCCCAGGGGGTCATTAATTTTCCCTATATGAATATAGTAAAAACTTAAAAATCTTCTTTTAAAGAACCCAAAGAGCTAGAGCTAAGATATTTAGCATGAAACATGGTCTAATGGATGTCTACCAAGTTTGTTCAAATAAGTGCCCTAGGGTCAAAATTGGCCCCGCCCCGGGGGACATTGATTTTCCTTATATGTGTATATCAAAACTCAAAAATCTTCTTGGAAATAACCCGAAGAGCTAGAGTTTAGATATTAAGCATGAAACATCTCCTAGTAAGTGTCTACAAAGATTGTTCAAATAAAAGCCCTTGGGTCAAAACTGGCCCTGCCCCAGGAGTGTCATTGTTTTTAAATAATAGTATATTGTGTAAAGAAAAAACTTAAAAAATTTTTTTTTTAAAAACCCAACAAGCTAGACCTTAGATGTTTAGCATGAAACATCTTCTAATGGGTGTCTACCAAGTTTATTCAAATAAAAGCCCTGGGGTTTAAACTTGCCCCGCTGTGGGGGGCCTATATACAGGTGAGCGACTTCAGGGCCATCATGGCCCTCTTGTTTCCAAAGTCCGCTCATTCCTGAAATATTTGCCTTTGTGATGCCAACGCGAAAGCAACGACTTCCCGCTCTTCATCGGACAGGGTAATATCCACACTGACGGCTATCGTCACCCGCAAACGCTGCAAAAATAATCACAGCGACATTTCACTCTATCAGGTGACTGATAGTTTGTCTTAATCTACATTGAGATTTTTCATACAGTATGATCCTTGTGATGAACGTAAAACGAACTGTTCGATTTCCGTTTTAAGTCGTTAACATTTATAATAGATTGTTGTTATACTTGGCTAAATGTGCATACAATTACAGAAAACTGTCTGGAAAATTCCTAAAACTGATCGTATTACAAAGACAACAACAGAAAAACAAACAAAAAACACGACACAATTGAAAATAGTATAAACCCGGTTAGATTAAGCCTGTGCATGGAAGGTACTTGAAAATACAATTTGGCTTTCACGTCGCCTCTCTATTGTATCGCAACATGGCTCAGCGATATGTTTGCCGTATAATGACCGTACAAAGTCGCCTTGTACATACAATCAAGGCTGTTATATTTCCAATCCTAATAGTAAGTTCAGCACAACATTATAATTTTACTTATGGTACTTAAAGTTATTTCTATTTGGCTTTTTTTTTCTAGTTTTCGGGTGTTTCCAGTAACCGTTTAATCACCTGAAGGATATGTGACCTGTTTTTGATATTTATGCTTCTGTTCCCCTTGAACAACTTTTAAAATTTCATTTTATTAAGTCCTGTCCATAGTTTTCTTATTAAGGGCACACACATTTTTTTTAATTGGGGACCATTATCATTCCTTGCGGTCTGGAGGAGCACGTGACCTGTTTTTGGTACATGGAGGAGCATGTGATCTGTAAACGGTACACGATTGGTTAATTGACCTTTTCGAAAACCTTGTCGGTACGTTACGGAATTACCTCTAGGGAATTAGTCAGAATTACACCTAATTAAGAACCAAAAACTATTACGTGATATTTCTAATTTTCTATAATTATTTTACCGTTTAAGGTGGAAAAACTTGAATGATGTATTTTAAAATTATCATTGTGTCTTTAATATATGTATCTCAAATTTTACAAACAATAAATTGTTCATACTGAAAATGTACAAAATTAAAATATTCGTAGTGGCATCTGCCATAACAAATAGAGATATTTTCTGCGTAAACTTGTGTGTTTACTTTATTATTTTTTTTGCTTGGAATTATTCAATGACCAAATTGTAGAAATATAATTTGAAAGATGCTTGATACATCGTTCAGCAAATAGGACAAATTATAATAATATGCATTATTTATTATTAATAATTAAACACTAACTATAAAGTTAGGAAAAATTATAATAAAATGCATTATTTATTATTAATAATTAAGCACTAATTATAAAGTATTAAACATTTTAAAATTATGTGCTCATCAAGGGCATGTATTTCAATGAGAAAATAATAATTTAGAAAAAAAAACAACTTCAAAGTCCCTGAAAATTGTTAGTCAATATATACTTTAAAGCACAACGTATATTGACGCCACCACAATCATTACGTTTTGCTCGCTATTTACTTTTTTCAAAACAGTTCTAGAAGAATAACTTACGTATCAATATTGTATTTTATTGCGTTAATATTTTCCTTTCACTAGATGTTAGGAATGGTAGCAAACTTTACAGCGTTGAATTGTTATTTCGAAACACCGCGATACTTATAAAAGATGTGTACGTCAAATAGGATGGAAATTACCCATACAATTGCATAATAGTCAACAAAATTTGTCCAAAGACGTCTATTGAACATAAAACATAAAATTCAAACAAAGGGAACAGAATGAAAATTAATAAAAAACAGACAATTTATTAATAAAAAGAAGCAATTCCGCCGCCCATAGGGTATGCTTTGACGTCAAATTAACGCTCTTTATTTGCAAATAATGCCAATGTTGTAGATCTTATTTATCTACATGTTTGCATACCGTAAATCATCAAGATCTGAGGTTTCGGTCTAACTTAAATTACTAGTTAAAGCTGGAATCAACTACACTTTCCATTAATCATTCTGTAAGGATTTGTCAAAATCTTACAGATCGTTAAAGTTTTTTTTGCTTAGAAATAATATTGGTTTCAGCGGTGTTTATCGGTTATGTAACATCTGTTTGGAGTTTTGATCCTTAGAAATTGACCACGAAGGCAGTAAGCCATATTGAGCTGTTTTTCATCACACCCTACAGTAACTTAGTAGTTTCAACAATGTCAACCTACGAAGCAGACTGTATTTTATTGTGTTTAAATAAGTGCTGAATTATTAATTCTTCAAACCACACCCATATCAGTTTAAAATGACGTCATTCTGGCACCTTTTTGAATATATTGCATATAGAATGCCGTCCTTAAGCTGCTTACGAATTTGCGTCGACTTTTGTAATAAAACTTTATCAATGGACACGGTTACAACATGTGACTAGTGCATGTGAGGTTTAATCTAAACATCACATGTAAATAAAACATAATAAGAACAAATATCAATACAAATCATTAATTTTGTTGCCTTTCAAAGGCGTTGTAATTCACTGATGTACTATCGGGAGAAAATAAATAGATGTATATATAAACTAACTCAAAAGAAGTGCACGGTTCGAAGATGAGCAATACTTCAAAGAATGCATTTGAAATTGAATACAGTATATCTAGCACCTTATCACATACACAAACATGCATAAGTCAAACATCATTCATATATCAATATTCAGCTTGTCAGTATTGACCTAAACAAATATCGTTTTAGTTTACCTTGTACACCAGATATTGCTGTAGACTTGAAGAAGTCAAAACGTTTTCTAAGACCTTTTGTAATTGTACGTCCAATATATGACACCACTCTAGTTACTAAAACAAACAAAACAGTCCTTTATAAATTTTTGTTCATCATTTTCTTCATGTATCGGCACAAGGATTGAGAAATATCAAGGGTCGAGTACGCGCATATTTTCTCGTGAGATATTTATACAATATAGGAAAACAATGAGTACATAGGTCCACATAATAAGTCCATAATGACAATACCATAGTGCTCCCTACATCTTAGATATACTCAATCCGCAGTCAAACCAGAATCGTTATTTTTTCTTACTTTATTCTGCTGCCTAAACTATCGAAAAGACAAACGTTTGGCTGTATAAAGATATATGATAAAGATTTTGCTAATATATATATACACATTTTAGTCACACATATGAATGCAATAACTAAAGCAGTGTAACATTTATTGCATTTTAGCTCAGTATAAACAGAAACTTTCGGATCATTGAGTCCAGCACTTAAATATTGAGAAATGAGTACCGCTCAAGCCTGTGCTAGGGGACGCGATGGAATGTTGCACTTTATCATTTTTCCTCAAGTTCAGGCTCAATCAATCCGAGTCTGCAATTTTTATGTGATTTTGCTTTCTTAATGCTTCCGAGGGATCACTTTTTTACCAGATATTTGATTGAAATGCCATCGACGTCTAACAAATCAATTGTCTTACATCTACAGACCAAAGAAACCATTTTGGCAATATGCCATTTAGAAGGTGTATGGCGTGTACTGCCGGTTAAACTTAAAGCTATAACTGTTCAAATTGACGAAATGAGCAAAATATTTTTTAAATAAAATCAAATTAACGAGTCCTATTATATCAGTTTTTCATTGGAAATTCGAACCCCGTTATACCAGTAATACATGTCACTCCCCATTAAAAAAGCGCATTATAATTATGCAGTCCTTTTTTCTGCTGAAGGGCAGTAGGAGTCCATCTTCAAATGCAAAGAGTCAACATATTTTGAACGTCATTTTATAGTAATCGGGCCATTAGGCGAGACCGGCTTCAATATTGTATGACTAAAAGATCCTGTAACACATTTTTTTTCATGATTTTATTTCATAAATATGATGCTCAAATTAAGATCTTTCAATATTGTGGTTCAAATAAGCATCATTTATAAAGATATTACCCAAGTCAAATTGTCCAATAAGAAATGAATGCATGTAATTTATTGATTAAATGTGCACAACTATTTGCAGTACACATTTTACATATTTTTCGATGTTTGAAAATTGTTTTATTTGCATAATTATATACATATATAACTTTTTGCAAGTGCAAAATACACACAGTAACAATACCAATCACAAAACATACAGGATCTTTAAACATTTAATCCACAAAACCTATCAACAAATCTGATATGTAGCCATTGATATTGTTAGGCAATATTGACCTTAGACATTTAAATATTCAAGGAGCTTTTGTCTTTAATTATCGTATTCCAAAGGAAATCTTGCAGATTTTAAAGCATAACATAACGGTATACATGGTTAACATATTATATTACAAAACACATAACAAACTTGAACGATAAGGAGTCAAGATTTTAAGTTTTGATTTGAAAGTGGTGGGTTCGAATCCTAATGAAATATTATTTTTATGCCCTCCGGCATACAGTTACTTAACCGTCTGTCTGATATTCTGTCTGTATGTCCGTATGTCCGTACGAGGTTAATCTAGAACGGCAATTTGGAGTTTTCTTAAGTTCTACCTGTACCAATGGCTTTATAGCTTACACACTTACTAATCAATAGAAAGTATATGATCTTGACAAGTTACATAACTATGGCTTCCATATTTACCAAGTTATTGCTCTTTTAAGCACTTAAAAATGAATAATGGTTCACCTAAACTGCAATTATACGAATGGCTTTATAATTTCTATATTTTATATCAATATAAAGTTCATGGTATTGCAAGTTAAATATGCTATCCATTTTTCCCGGTTATTACCCTTTTTCAATTTAAATATAGGGCCTTGTCTGAATAACCTGTTCCAGCAAGTTGGATTCATCTCAAATTTCTCCTACTCGCTTAATTTATTTAATGATATCTTTCACATTTAGTAGGTGCATTCCGTTAATGTTCCTATAATTTATTGGTTAAGTTAGGGGTCTAAGGGTCACGATCAAGGTCACCGATGCAAAAAAATAAATTTAAACATGTTTGCTCATACAGCCTTTATTTTTAAATTGATGTCTTTAATGTTTAATACAAACATGTCAAGGAAAGTCCTGGTTCTTTTGGTATAGTAAGGGGTCATTTGGTCACTTGTGCTGAAAATAGATTTTTCACACTTTTGATCATACAGCCTTTATCTATTGAAAGATGTATTTCATATTTGGTAGAATAATAACTTCTTGGTATTCTTCCTTAAGATTGAGGTAGGGATCAGTTGGTCAAGGTCACGTGTGCTAAAATAGATTTTTTTACACTTAAGTCTATACAACCTTTATTACTTGACTGATTTAATTAATATTTGGTAGGAAAATAACTTGCTTAAGTAGCCTTCCCTTTGATGGTGTAAGGTATCAGTTTGGTCAAGGTCGCCAGTGCTATAAGTAGATGTTACACTTTTTCCAATCTATTCTTTATTTAATAGGAAAATAATTTGCATGATATTCTTCCTTTGGATTGAGGTAAAGGTCATTTGGTCAATGTCAAGGGTGCCAATTATTGATTTCTACACATTTGCTTGAACAGCCTTTATTTTGGTATTAAATTCATGATGTGCTTCTATTTGAAAGGATGATAACTTGCATCCTTTGGATTCAGTTTGATCAAGGTCACGAATGCTGAAAATATATTTTTTACACTTTTTATATAGCATTTGTGTTATTCTTACCAATATCTCATATTTACAAGGAACATACTGGTCCTTTAAGTTTTGATTGAGTTGGGGGAGACTGAGTTCAAGGTAAAGTCTTGCATTTTAATATATTTGATCAAGTTGAAGTCATAGCAAGGGCTCGCCTGCTTATATTTTTCACAATTACAAAATGCCATGACTCTATCAAGTTATATAACTATGTTTACATATTTTGTCGAGAGTTCGAACTTGCAACTTTACGATTGCTAGCCATTGTACTTACCAGTAGGCTATCAGGTAACAATTATAAATACAAGTTTCGAGAACTATACTAATTATTAAAAATCGGTTGGTAAGTTGTGATAAATTACGGAAAGTAGCTAAAATGTCTACCGAAAGTTAGTCTTAGGTCAAATTGCCCAACAGTAACATATATGTTTTTCACATATAAATGCACCCTGGTGGACGTCATTTAAATTCATATCTTCAATGTATTATATCTATCTTTTAAAATCTACGTTGAAGGTTCTTAATTAAATTAGGTTTAAAACTTCATATGTTACTTGAATATTTTACCATTATATTTTACATACGTATAATATGAAGTAACTAACACCGATATAGAAAAAATATAATGACCATAATGAAAATGAAATGCAACGAGTGATTAGAAAAGAACATACCGGTGCTTGGCCTATTTACATGTTCATAATCGGAACCTAATTCTTCATCGCTGGTTATATCTTCGAAGACTTCGTCAGCATTGTCAATTTGTGAGCTATTATTTTCATCCACAGAAGATTCATCAACTGAAATTTTCAATCTGCATTTTACTCTTACTATACGTATTAATGGACACAAACAGGTTATGTTATGTTATGAACTCATGCTCAGCAAGAAGAAATAGGAGGAACTAATGAAATAACTTTCTGTAAGAAAAAAAAAGAGATAATAATATGTACACATTGTCTATATACTTGAGTTGCAACGGATCTTATACAGTATCGTTATGCATTCTAATTGTATTGTTTTGTAAAAATTTGAAAAAAGGGATACTGCTTCGTTTTATCTTACATAACGGAATCGAAAATTTCTTTCAAAGACTTTTATTATATCATTTGATGTAATTGTTTTACCAATAACTTGTGTACCAACTTTCAGATAATTCACTCATTCCGTTTTCTCAGAATAATCGTTTTGATTGGGCAATATTTCATAGAAATGAAATATAGTGTAACTTCTGAAAACCGAACTGTGGGACTCGCCAAAAAGTTTGGAATGTGGAGGTTTCCGGAATTCAGATGTTCGGAATTATCTAAACACGTAGGAACATTGGACATTGATAAATGTTTTAGCAGACATGTTGAAAATTTTATGAAGCTGATTGAATTCATACAATGACAAATTATTAGAAGTTTTAAAAAGTTAAAAACTCTACAAAATTCCAATATCACTAATAACTGAATTTGTTGTTACAATAGCATAATGTTAAATCAAATTATAATTTATCATTTAGTGGAAAATGTTCGAAGTAAGAAGTTATCGGATTTTAGAAGTTCCAGAACAGTACATGTTAACGCTTTAATTGAAAACGGACTCACAAAATATCGGTTTTTATTCAATTATGGGTACATTTGTCTATTTGTATGTTAAATGCTAAGGATGATCTACTACAGTTTTTTTTTTTCAAATTTCATAGTATGTGCTTTTGGACATGAGTGGATTAATACCAAAGAGAAAGTCCGTGACTTGCAACATAATGACTAAAGTACGGATGTAACATATTTTTCAGTGTCGAATAAAAATGACTTGTATTTAATTAGTATTTGACAATAACAACTCACAGTATATTTCGATAGATACGTCTTTATCATCTATCTTAATTGTTTTTTCCTTCAACACTAATTGTAAAGCTGTAAAAAAGAAAACAAATCTAAGCATAATATAATTCTATTGTTAAATGTTGTGACTAAACCTTTTCCTTATCTTTGTTTTCATTTTTAATTCAAAATTCATTTCCTCTCCCAAAGAACAACTACCTTTTGATATATTTTCATTATGTGACACAACCGGATATCTTAAAGTATATTACTTATGTGTTCACGGAAATGAATGACGTTATATACTGTTTTTATGTAGACATAATAAACAAAATAGACTAGTCTACAGAAAACAAAAACAAGACCTTGCGATGTGATGTTAAGTTGCGATATAAAACAAGACCTATTCGGTCATCTGTCTTATTGTCATGAGATATCTGCTCTTAAATGCAATTGTGCGCCTTTGTCAAGGGTAATTTTGCAGACAAAAATTTGTGTATTAAGTAAACACCGATATAAAGCACGCGATTTGTGTAATGTTAAAAATGTAATTACCTACTTTCCGCCTCATCAAACTCAACAAGTGCGGATAAGTCATTCTCATCAATATGTACTCTTAAAACATTTCCATCCCGTGGTTGTGTCAAATTTTTAAAAAAGCTTAGCAAAGAATCTTCTCTAGTGCCTTTTGGTAAGCCGCAAACTTTAAGGATTGTAGTATGTGCAGGCGTCCGTTTAGACGTTGACTCTATAATAAAATTGTTTACATTAAATATGATTTACATTACACAACTCTACGTATCTCATTTTTGAAGAAACCTTATCAATTTAATGTACTTTTCTGAAAAAAAAAACAACAAATTATTATTGTTGAAATACTTTACAACATTTAAAGTTAGCATGTTACATAGTGGCAATTACATAAAATAAAATATTCATTGAACACAATAGACTGACAAGTTACACCATCTCTCAATTAAAACATGTCCATCGTAAGCATATTGTTTAATTACTATTGTCGTATGGTCTTGCGACAATTACATTTTTATAGATAAAGTAAATATTATAAGGAAACGTTATATTAAGCTGCGCGGACCTGTTATGAGCCATAGCATGATTGCATTTGCTTATTATGGTTGCTATATTTACCTGAAATCGGTCCAGGATTTTGCTCAATACCGGCCAAGAGCAACAAAATACCTATGAATACAACTGCTCCAATAGTCTTTAATCCTCGGGTAAATTCGGCTATATATATGGTAGTCAAAACATCAGTACCAAGGTTTCGATTGAAACAACCAATTCTTCCACGATAAGTTTGAATATCGACACCCATGATGATAATCTAAAAAAGGGTCAAATCATATTTATAAAATACATATTTTAACGAAGTAAAGCATAATTGGTTTATGTTCTTTAAAAATGTCAAATATAAAAAGTTTTATTCATAAGTGACATAAAACCGTCGTTCTCTTTGAATGCATATATTTGTATTCCCTTGAACATATTTATAATATTCATTTCACATAATAATTTTGAAAGACTGCAGTTTCATGTAATATATCTATAGCTTAAATAATAAGGAGTGGCACCCTAAAAAGTATTATTGGGTAAATATTGACGAAATGAAGATATACATATATACACAGAAAACGTATTTATAATTGTTTTCAACTATTTTTTTTATAAAGAAATGTAAATATGATAGAATAGTAACAACCGCTTGACAAAGGTTTCCTTTACGATAATTTGGTATGTAGTAATCAAACCTATGTTTGATTTTATTGACTGTTGGATGAAGTTTTTGATTAGATTTAGAAGTTTGTAACAATATAGCTGTATATGTAAGCCTTGACTATATTTGATGAAAATGTAAACCTTTATAATATTTGTAACTTGATGTAGTGTATAACAAATTTACAATATAAAAAAATACCTAGTCTATGTGCACGTATCAAAAGCGAATAAAGATTCTAGAACATAACACCATTTTCAATTATATACGAGTATTTAACAATTTTCACAGTCTAGCTATACATATCAGAGCTAATGCCGGCGAAATATCCAAAACACATAACATGTGTATTTTTAGATAAATGTATACAGCTTATTCAGCTCAAGTTGACAACGCAAGAAGATCATTATATCAATTAAGTGTTATTTAATTCTGAAACTGACTGATCAAGTTCAATATTCAAAATACATGTATAACTCTAAATAATTGAGTGAGTATTTGACACAGTGGTCTTAAGCGTTCCTAATTTAGCGGGTGGTCACGAGTTCGAATTCCTATCATCATGGATTTGTTTACATATATTCAGAACAACGTGTTCCTGTTGCTTACTTTAATGTAATTTTATCAAAATCATACAATAATGTAAAAATAATTATCAATCATCATAGAAAAATGATTTCAATTCAAAATTTGAAAAAAGTTGTTTTTGATTTTTTTCTTATGCGGTCTTGAGAATAAACAGATCTATCGATATTTTAAGGCTTTTGATATAGATCTACTTTTTGTTTAATTCGAAAAAAAATGAAAGCAGAAAACAAGCAAAAGTTATAATTCGGGGAAACTTCTTTATTCTTTAAAATTTCTTATTCGTCAATAAATCGGCTATTTTCTAGCTGGCCTCGTTGAATTGTGAAACTCGCGTACCAATTTCAATCGGCGACCAACGACATACAGTTAGTTAAGTTTAGTTTATACTTATACTTAGTTCTATTGCGTTAGAAGCTATAATCTTTTTGGAACAACATCGAATATATTCCTAGAACCAACCGATTCTAAGCTACGAATTTAATGTTTTTTGTTCTCACCCCTGACCGGGCCTAAACCCAGGTGACCAGTAAATCTTAGATGAATGCATTAAATGATGAACATACATTTTTCAGCTTTGTCTGCTGGTTTCAAAAACAAATTTGTAGTTAAAAGCTAAAATTTCAATTCTCAGAGATCATCAAATAAATCTAGGTTAAGAGACCATATCAAATATTATCTGCATTCTTGTTATCATAATACAGGATACAATTCAAGACAGTGACAGATCATTTAGATTGTCGTTTAATGTTAACCTTTATGCGTTTATATATCTATGATATTCCGATTAACGTACCCGAAATTTAAGAAAACAGAAAAAATAGAACCTTTGAAAAAATTGACTACTTTTTTAATTGACAAATATTATTATTCAAGCCCCGTAAAAGAGGCTTGTAAATGTTAAAAATTCTACACACAAAAAACCGTTTTTTATCTTCAACCTGTCAGTTTTTTACGAAAATACTTTCTTAACATGTTCTGTAATAGGGAACGCAGCTTCCCCGACATAGTCTATTCATTCTTTTAATAATCAAATTAGACATACTCGGTACGCACTTCATAGATTTTATGAGATTTCTGTTACTCAAGGCTGAGCAAAGTATATCTTTTAAGCTATTTAAACTTACAAATTAAGCTATAAAGGTGTAGTGTACTATTTTCATTTCCCTCAAACGTGCGGATTTATCACATAAGAGCATGAAGTAGATAGATAAATAGATATTAATCCTGTACCAGTTGTGCCGTACTTTATTCAAATTATATCAATTCAGACTTTATGATAACAGTATATGTATAAAGTGCACAGTACTAATGTGTGTGGAAAAGTATTTAAAAATATTTGCGAACTCAAATACAGATCTAAAAGAAAAAACAGCAGTTTGCAAGCTTAAACAATTCTTTGATTGCACATAAACATGTTATAAAATTATAGCATTTTTTAATAAAATTTCTTTGAGAAATATAACAAAAATATTCTGCATAAAGGTTTTTAACTTATTCAAAATTTTCAAACTTGCCAGCATGAAATTTGGTGTTACACCTACTAAAATAGGTCAATACAAATTGTTCAGAACATATCACATTATATTCACGAGCTTAAAAGACAAATTATCACTTGTCAATTTTTCTAAGCTTTGTATAATAGTTATTTTACACTTTGCTGATAATATGTGTTACTTTGACATACGATAGAATATATAAAATCTTTTTTTTAATTTACATTTTCCAATATATGAAAGTGTTGTTTATTTGAACGGATTCAGTTGTTCTGCATAATCAAGTATATCATTGCTGCATGCCTTCAGAGTCAAGCTATTTCAAGAAAACTAAACATTAGAAAAGTGTGCCAAGAATTTTAAAAAAAGTGAAAAAATTCAAGATTCAGGTAATTAATAAAATATTGTGTGCGATAAAGGACTACTTTACCTGTATTTCTCACTTAATTTCCACTGCGTGACAAACACAGTGAGTTGAATTTCAGTTGGTAATTAACATGATTATAGGTCCAATTACAATATATTAATATATGTTAAAATGTGCATGACAGTCAGCATTTATCAGGAGGCATGCTGCTTTATTGTAATTAAGCTCATATTGTACAACCCTAACATAATATAAAGTAAATAAAGATAATTTGGAAATAATTATTTATAATTGAAAAATAGACACTTACCTGACACAGCTTCTAACCAATTCAAGATTTAAACACTAGGCGTACTGGATTGATAATGACAAACTAAGCGTTCCGAAGTTATTTGTACGGTCGTTGAAAACTAGATAAAAAGGGGCGGTCAAAATGATACAAATAGTTGTTATAAGTTTTAAGAAGACCATGTGTCATAAGCAACAACCGGACTCTTACGTCCAAGGTCAAGGTCACACTTGGTAATTAAAGGTCAACATTGTCTTTTTGGTGGTACATACAGTGTCCGGTCCGTAACTTTCTTATCCATGAAGGGATTTTGCAAATACTTGACACAAACGTTTACAATAATGACACAATGTGTCATGCAAAAAAAAACCAGTCGCCTACTTCTAAGGTCAAGGTCGCAGTAAGATATCAAAGGTTAACATAGTCTGTTAAAGGGTATTTTTTTCCAGTGCATAACGTTCTTATCCACCAAGGGATTTTGAAAAAAACTTGGCATACATGTTGACAATAATAAGACAATGAACCATGCATAACACCCAGAACCTTATCAAAATAGTCAAGGCAACATTTAGAAGTCAAAGCTTAACATGGTCTTTCATAGGGTATGTTTTGTGTGCAGTCTTTAATTTTTTTATTGTTTAAGAAATTTTGACTACATTTTTACACAAATACAATAATGGGACCATGTGTCATGTGGAACAGCCAGATTTCTACCTTCAATATCAAAGTCACTCTTAAGCTTAACATTGTCTGTTTTGTATGTTTTGTGTGCGGTATAAAACTTTTCATCAATCAAGAGATTTTTAGAATAGCTTTGCACAAATGTTAATGATAATCAGACGGCATGATATGCCCACACTTCGATCGCTACCTCAAAGATCAAGGTCACACTGGGAGGTCAAAGTCTAAATTATTCTCTACATGGTATGGTGCCAAGTCAGACCCATGCAAATAAAATGTCATTGTTGAACTGCCCACAATGTTTATCAGTTAGACTGCATATTTATCAGCGGTGACTTTGAGTCCATGTATCATATTTAGATTTTCATTTAGTGTAGAGGTACATGTAGGACCTTAATTTAACTAATATGCTGTTGTCGGTTTGAGCCTTTGGCAGAGATCGTTTTTAATATAATTTTTAGCTGCAAATTATATTTCAATACTTTATCATAGAACTTATGAAAATAATAAAATATGTAAATGATGTGTTATTTTCTTATATTTCCTTATGTTGGGCTTGATACCACCTTTTAATAGTCCTAAATACCAATTATATAAACGAAAAGTTCACAAAGCCAGTGATTATCAATCCTGTACCAGTATATCATGCTCTTAGCCAAAAAAAAGCAAATTTCTCTACACGAAACAAAGGTAGATTAGAAATTATCTTATATACAATGAGGATGTTTTCAAAGGATAGCGGGGAACGCACATCTTCACAAGTCATAAAGCTCAAGAACTCGCTAAACATAGACCTACATGCTTACATACAAAGATAAAGCTTCTTATTAGTGTTGAGTCTGTTGACTGTAAAATTAAATAATTAACGGGTAATTTGCTTACAGTGAGTAAGAATCACCAAAGAATTTATTAAATATTTATAATTGTTCTTGGGAAAAAGTAAAGGCATAAAGTATAATTTAACTTTTAAAGTAAAATGTCTCCAACCCTTGACCAATAAAGATTTTCTTTCAGCATATGGCCTGTCCATTCCGGTAACACTACCAAGGCAAAAACACACTGTGAAATACCCTGAATCTCTTCATATGCGGATGTATATATTTAATTTGTTATGACTTAGTCTTGTCAAGATAAAAGATAAAAGAGAAGAAATACTAATGTAAAAACCTAAATTAAAGTCAATATAAATGTAACTATACACAAAGAGCCAATTCTTTGTCAAATGAACGTTTAAAAAGCAGACGAGACAGTGTTTTTTCACTACCTTGAATTTTAACTTTTCATCCAAATGGAAGAGTCCACTTGACACGCATCTACCGAGAAACCTGTGTCTACGTACAACTTAAATTTTCATTTTTAAATGGGTATAACTGTGTCAAACATTCATCATTACTCTCGAATAAATGTCAGATTGATCTTATAAATACAAAAATTATGCCATTTATTTGTTTCAATGTTAAGGTCACATTCAGATTTGTGACATTAATATGCTATCTAAGTGAACCAAAAGATGCTCTCCTTTGCGACTATGTTTAACCAATTACTTCATGAGCATTTTGTGAAAAATGGCTGTTTTCATTGAAAATTCTCCCGTTACAAGTTCAACTTGCTGTAAAACTATAAAATCTGCTTCAATACTAATCAAACTTGGCACAAGTATTGACTGGTCCATAGTATTTGCAAGAACATACTCAGGCTTAACTTTCCTGTTACAATGGCAACGAGGGGACATCTCAATATTTCCAAAAATCACTATTTTGCGTTGATTTTTTTCCATCAAAATTGTTTCAAAGTGCTGCAACTTCTCAATGAATTGAGATAGTCAAAAGCTTTTCAGCGTTGGTTACAGGTTACCTTATAATCGATCTGGGGTAATTTTTAGCCTCTCACAAGTCCAAGTTTTCTTGGCGGTGAGGGGGACTGCCGCCCCCAAACAGAATGGGGCACATCCCCCTTATCGTTTGGTTGGAGGACCGCGCCGACAAAGTGGTCAATTTTTAAAATTACATTTCTAAAACAAAAACAAGTGTTTGGGGATCTAAATAAGGCCCTTTTTCACAATTTGAGACAACAAAAAAAAGGGGGGGGGGACGGTGCAAAAGGCGTTAAAAGGCGTGTTTATTGCGTAATGGGTTAAGTAATAGAAAGAGCACCGAAACACGAGGTTATCTGATTTGTACGAGGGGGCGTAGCCCCCGAGTATTAATCAGATTACCGAGTGTTTTGGTGTTCTTTCTCTTTTGTATCATAGTCAAACATAAAAACACGTTCCCTGTTGTCACAATATGAAACCCCGGCAAAAATGAACCAATGAACGAACATCTGAATATGATATTTCTGTCGCTTTCCCTTTCTCTGCCGTCACAATATGTAAACCCCAGTAAAAATGAGCCAATGAATGGGCATGCTCTGGAGTGCGGGTATTAGTAACGCACTGTGCATGTATATGTATACGATTTAACCCTGACACATTTTCAACAGTAAGGTCTCCAAACTATGATACAATAACGATATATTCATTTAAACAATAAGGGAATTTGTTTTGCGACACTAGCCGCATACGAGGGGTGTTTAAATATGAATACATCTGGTTCAATTTTCAGAAGTGCTTAACAAACAGTACCAAAATAATTATCTCAATCCTTAAAAATACTCACCACCATGTGATATACAAAGTTTTTTTCTTTTAATCCAATTTTTAAATGCGTTTTCTTATTTTTTTCTTTGTATACTGTTCAAACACTGGTTTTTCTTGTTTGATCAGGTGTTTTCGACCCTCGGAAATAGGAAAAAACACACAAGGGGAATGATCTGACAAAAAGGAAGGGCGAGGAAGCTCGACAACCTTTTCCTGTCTCAGATATTCGTGTACAATTGCCGCTTTGTGTGACGAAGCAGTGTAATGCAGTGCAACAACCTGACACAACGGAGACCAGTTGCTGGTCGACGGTTATTTAAGTATTTCTTTAATTCACGAAAGACCTTGCGTTTGAAAACTTGGCATTTACGGACCTACCCTTTTATACGACAATTTGAATAGCAGGATCTCGATTGGTAAAGAAAATTACATACATGACCTTTTTGACGCTCATGGTGCGTTTTGCTGTGCAAGGTCTTTGATTTCCTTTGGGTGCCCATATTTGTTATGTATCTTTCGCTTGGCTCACAAAAGTCAACCTACTTCTCATCGCCAGTGATGATATTTGTGAAAGATCGATTGTTGTATTTCGGGAATTGTTTTAACAATAGTTTGGAGATTCTTACCCGAGTTTAGCTATTTTGTAAGGAGATGGGCTGTCACTTATCATTCGCATTTTTAAATCACGTCTGAGAACAGTATCAGCGGCTCCTACAGAGATACCAACACATTTAGCAATAGACCTAGTTGTAAATCTTGCATCAGTAGCAATCAAATCTTTTACTTTTTTAACCATTTTTGGCGAAGATGCAGTTTTTGGACGGCGTGCATGAGATGCATCTTTAACTACATCCACACCACCTTAATTTCTTACACTACCGTTAGACAGATGAAAAGAAGTTCATTGTTTCCATAAACACGACAAATTTCATTTAAATTTATATTTCGCCTGTATACAAAGAATACAGCGGTTCCTGATATAGAACCGTATTTGTTCACTAAAAGGAAACATTTTCCCAATCAGTTTAGCTTCAGTTTACCGAATATATAGCTTTAATCGAGCTATTTTCAAAGCATGGCTGAACTGATTTTTTTACATGTATTGTATTAATTTACTGTAAAAATGATCTGAAAACCGTGAAATTTCAACTCCACTACAGTTATTGTTAGGTGCTTTGTGGAAGTTGTGAACAGTTTCTCCGTACTTCTCTTCAGGTTTAACACTTGCCATGAAAAACCAGTTTTGACATCTTGCATAAAAATATCATCAAAACATATGAAACGAATTTAAAGCGATAAACGATCATTTTTGTGCGTTATACGGGAAGCTATAGTTAATTCGTTAAATTAAAAGAAAACTTAAGTCTTGATTTCAAAGATTCATATAACAATAATTCCTCCCGCACCAAACTGATTTTTGTGACAATAGATACTCCTGATAAAGAAGTCTAACGCTTGACATGAAACTTGAATTCACAGTAAAGCAGTAAAGCTGTAAGATATAAAACCAACATAATACATAGTTTTAAAACGAAAACCTACCTGTACAATCCGACCATATAAGCTGCAAGCCTTTAGAATAAGCAACCATATTAAACGTTTACCTAATGTACTAAATAAAACTAAGCCATTGAAATCTTAAACATCATTTAAACTTATGTAACTCTATAAACCTTTCAGATCTCGTAGTTTAAAAGTAACCTAGTATAAGAAATATTGAAAATTGTTTACCATGTATGAACAAATTATTCATATGT